GTGAGTGAGTGAGTGAGTGTATATGGTGTGTGCGTGTGTGTGTGTGTGTGTGTGTGTGTGTGAGAGTGAGTGTATATGGTGTGTGCGTGTGTGTGTCTGTGAGTGTATATGCTGTGTGTGTGTGTGTGTGTGTGTGTGTGTGTGTGTATATGGTGTGTGCGTGTGTGTGTGTGTGTGTGTGTGTGTGTGAGAGTGAGTGTATATGGTGTGTGCGTGTGTGTGTCTGTGAGTGTATATGCTGTGTGTGTGTGTGTGTGTGTGTGTGTACCTCTGTTGAGTGTCGCTGAACTGTTAATGTCTCCAGCCATGAATGAAGACTCGGACTGCTTCCTCACCGTGTCATTCCACATGCGGCGGATTCGGCTCTGTGAACAACAACAGCGTTTCACACACACATACATACCTCACATAATCAGAGACAGATCGCTTCATCTGCTACACACTAATCAGTCAGAAATTAAACCAAACAGCCTTTCAATCTCTTAAACATTACAGGTTTGGAACGGCATGACAAAATGCTTAATAATTTTTTGCTATATCCTATCGAAAACGCTCCCAACACACTGTAGCAGTGTTTGTTTGTCAGTATAAGAATCGTGTGTCTGTTCCTCATCTCTCTGACATTTACACACACACACACACACACACACACGATCACGGGTCAGACGAGCGTGATTCTGCTGCATGTCAGATTCTCGTTACACGTTTGCACACGACTCCTGAAAGGCCAAAGGTCAAATTGGAAACCTTGTCTCCATGGAGATCAGGTAACCAGTCAAACCGTTACCATGGAAATTAGATATTAAAGCACAGATATGTAAAGCCTTAGATTTGTTTGAGACAAGGACAACATGCGATGGAAATCCTGCCTGCGTCTCGCTTCAGTATGAATTCTAAATGTTGCGATTGAATTCATTCTAAAAATCCTGTAGAAAACTACAAGACCAGTACTTTTTTTGCAGGATAAAATATATACTGCAATGTAGTATGTGACTATTTCAATATATCTGTGCTGTAAATATACATGAAATAGAGTTTTGGAACAGATTGAACTGTAAAAAGCACAAACAAATTAATATTTTCTTGCCTTTCCTGAAAAATACCGCAAAACCTTTTTTTTATTATATAAACGTATTGTCAAAATGTGCAGTAGACAGTAGTGCATTTTTGGTTTTGAACAGAATGTATTGTAAAAAGCATATATATAAATAAATTCATAATGTTTCTCATAATGCAAAGTGCTCGACCTTATATTTCCAACTCGACCTGGAAACAACATCTGCTACGACTTTAACTTAAACCATCTTACTTGCAATTTTAACACACTTCCAAATGGATAAAAACACCACACTGGATTAAAAATGCAAAATATCTAGTTTTATGATAATTGGAAACCATATTCTGAATGAAAAATGTAAAATAAGGAGGTAATGTGACAATGATATAAATTACTTCTATTAGAAAAGATCATCATTGCATACTGCATATCGTTTTACATGAAATAAAAAAATATATATATATATATATTATTAATATTAATATGGGTCAAGAGTTTGGAATAATGGAATTATTATTAATTATTAATTACATGATTTCTGAAGATCATGTGACACTGAAGACTGGAGTAATGATGCTGAATATACAGCTTTGATCACAGAAATAAATTACACTTAAAAAAAAATTCACAATTAAATAGAAAACCGTTCTTTTAATTTGAAATAATATGTCACAATATTTCTGTTTTCACTGTAAATTTTAATCAAATAAATGCATAAATTTGGTGAGCAGAAGAGACTTAAAAACATTCAAATATATCAATTACTTCAAACTTTTGACCATAAGTATACAACATTTACATTTATGAAAAACCCCTCCCTGACTCTTCCTGAAATACTGCTTCTAACACAATGAAAGTGAATGAGAGCGATGCACTGAGCTGCTCAGGTGTGTGGTGTGAAAGTCACAGAGCTGATAGTTACTTGTTCATACTGTAACTGTGAGGAGTTTGTCATACAAGGCGGGTGATGAACCTTGTGATGAAAGAAGAAAGAAAACAAGAGAAAGAGACAAAGAGAGAGAGAACAGAGCTGATAGTTACTTGTTCATACTGTAACTGTGAGGAGTTTGTCATACAAGGCGGGTGATGAACCTTGTGATGGAAGAAGAAAGAAAACAAGAGAAAGAGACAAAGAGAGAGAGAGAGAGAGAGTGAGAGAGAATACACACACACATGGACACTCACAAAATCTCTTGTGTTTGTGCTGCTGTGTTTGTGTGTGTTTGTACCTGCGATGCAGAGGAATATCGTCCCGGGCCGCGCGACGACGAGCTCCACCCAACCAACACACACACACACACACAGCACACCCAACACACACACACACACACACACACACACACACACACACACAGCACAGCCATTAAACCGTGCACCCGCTGTCATTTATTGCGTTTTCACTGGCATTGTGTTTCAGGACTGTCACCACTGATGTACTGTATAAAGGTTGTGTGTAATTCATGGAAGTGTTTATTTAATGATGAAGCATTAGAAATGAGTTCAGTAAAGTTTCATCAACTCTTGTAATGTCTCCATCAGCTGAAAACTGACTTGGCCTCATGTCAAGATGACAAAATGTAGTGAACAGGCCTGTAATTATAAGCCATTAAACCACTTTGAGTGGGCTGCTGTTTTATTTTAATATTATTAATATATTATTATAGTTTGTATTATTTTGAATTAGTTTAATTTTCACTTTAATTTTAATGTATTTAATTTTTTTTTAATATTCCTATTTATCTTTAATTTAATTTATTTTAAGTAGTAATTTTAGTACGCACGTACTAAGTACAACTACTTATTTTTTATCAGTTAGTTGCCAAGACAACTTTTCCAATTTCCATTTAAGCTTTTTTTTCTCTATAATATTTCTATTTTTCAGCTTTATTTAAATTAATGAACACTACATAAGTGTAGTGTCATAAGTACGATGGCTTATCTTCAGAACCTTTCCCGATCCGAAGCGTGGTGTGAAGCAAGGTTATGTACTCGCCCCGACAATCTTCGGCATCTTCTTCTCCCTGCTGCTGCGCCACGCCTTCAGTCAGTCAGAAGATGGTGTCTTCATTCGCACTAGGAGCGATGGCAACCTTTTCAACCTTGCACGTCTGCGCGCAAAGACCAAGGTGCGCAGGATCCTGATTAGGGAGATGCTGTTTGCTGATGACGCCGCCCTGACTGCCCATACCGAGGAAGCACTACAGCGTCTCATCAGCAGCTTCGCTCGCACTTCTGATGAGTTTGGGCTGACCATCAGCCTAAAGAAAACAAACGTCATGGGCCAGGATGTCAGCAGCACTCCCTGAATCTCCATCGGCGATCACCCCCTCGAGGTAGTGGAGGACTTTACATATTTTGGCTCCACCATCTCCAGCAACCTCTCTTTGGACAATGAGCTGAACAGCAGAATCGGCAAGGCATCAATAGCGATGGCCCGCCTGACCAAGAGAGTGTGGAACAATATCATGCTCACCACCAACACCAAGATGAAAGTTTTCCAGGCCAATGTCCTCGGCACTCTTCTCTACAGCAGCGAGACGTGGACTATGTACACCTGGCAAGAATGCAGACTTAACTCTTTCCATCTGCGCTGCCTGAGGAGGATCCTGGGCATCACTTGGCAGGACCGTGTCCCAAACACTGAAGTGCTGGCCAATGCAAACGCATTCAGCATGCACGCACTCCTTTCACAAAGACGCTTATGCTGGCTCGGCCATGTCTGTTGCAGGACGCAGTGAAATATGAAGATGAACATGCCCTGCAGCGAGTTAAAGATGGTGAAGAGGTACGCCATGATCACCGTGCTCTCGTTAACGTACATCAGGCCAAACGCCCAGGTCAGGCCCAGCAGACAGAGCAGCGCGATCGCTCCGATCACCCACGATCTGAAACACACACACACACAGCGAATTAGCCCTGAAAATACAGTCAGAACTCATTACTCGCAACGTAAGACATAAGTGCGAGATCAGTGGCTAAATTGGTAAATTTCTACCCAGCTCTCCACGTAAATTAAATATGACTTCAGTTAAAGTGAACTCCAAAAAGAACAAAAGCAGCATCAGTCATTCGCTCTCAGGAAAAAAGGTACAAAAGCTGCCACTGCTTCGGGATCGTTTCAAAACCTACTCACATATATGCATTAGATAATAATAATGCAATTTGTAAGACTAATATGAAGCTTTTAAGGCTAAACATAAAAGGCAACCGCTCCAAGGACAGACTTTATACCATTTGCACCAATAAAAAAACAGTTTTGGTAACAATTTACATAAAGCCTTTATATATAATGCATAATAATTATTTTTTAAATTTTTTTTATTTCAGTTTAATACATCAATTTAAAGTGAGAAATGTTGCCTTGTCCATAAAAATATATATATATATATATATATATATATATATATATACATATATACATATACATGCTATATTTTATTTTATTTCAGTTAATGTTTATTTTATTTCAAGCAACAAAAGTGTTTTTTAATGGTTTTAATTTTAGTTTCAGTTTTAGTTTTTAGATAACTATAATAACCGTGTAATGCACCAATAATATTAGAGTTATAAACCATTTTATTACTTATCTATATAGAAAATATAATGCATTACTGACAAACAAATCTTCAAGTATTATAATGCATTTTAGCCTTGCTTACAATGAAAATATATGATGCATTACAACATACATTATGAACACCTTTATAATGCATTATACATAAAGGCTTTAAGTAAAGTGTTACCAAGATTTTCAATTGAACAAAAGCTGCAAAGTTATCAGACGACTTCAGAAGACTTGAAATACAGCGCACACATCCTACACACTGCTTTAATAGGTCTTATTGTGTCCTTTCTGGAGTTTGACTGGTCTTTAGTTGATCTGAAAAGAGCAGTTCAGTCTCCCTGCTAAATTTATCCTGTGTTTCACAAAAGAAATGTTTGGAACGACTTGAGCAGAGTAAACATGACCGAATTGTCATTTTTATGCAAACTCTCCCCTATAAATACCATCCCGCATCTCTTTCTTTCATTCGGCGAGAGTTGGACGAGTCTGTAACGAGACACGTGTTGTGTTGTTTTCACCCGCGGGGCTACAGATCCACCCCACTGACTCTATCCAGCTCAATTTAACTTTAAAATTACACACATTTACATATGGATTACATCCAATATACCACTAATGGGACACGCACACTTCATAACATTATCATTAACTATAATTTCGAAAAATGAAAGAATAAGCCTCAGCGAGATTGTATTTCAGAACAAATATTTCGACTAATAAACACACTCTATTTCTACATTTTCTGAATAAATCATCAGCGCGAAACTGGATTTAAAAGGCTGTGACGGAAGTGATTTTAACACAGCTGTCGATCATTCAGTTGGCACAACATTGCAAATGCATCTTTGAGGAACAATTATAGTTGGAAAAAAAAACTATAAATGTTTAAAATGTGCTGTAAAAATCACTCAGCCTGGGTTTGATTTGAAAAAAATGTCTGTGTAAGTTTTAGTGTGTTGCGATGCTAAATGTTTTTTTTTTATTGTGTGTTACTAAAAGCACCGTTCAAATGTTTGCGGTCATTATTTATTTATTTTTGACAGAAATTAATACTTTTATACATCAAGGATTATTTTAAAAACAAATAATCTTAAATAAATTGATGCAGCTCAGAGATGGCATGAATGCATTTACACTACAACTACAATTGCATAAATAACGCTGTTAGTGAGAAAATTTCCCTTTTGAAACATTTTCAGTATATAAATATGAAATGATACTTCTAAATATGAAACAAGTGACTGTCTTGATGAGTAAGTCAGTGAATCATTCACCAATTTGTTCGATGTTTAAATGTCTGGTTGCTGAGGCATTTATCATGTTTGTTTAATGATATTTTGGTTTATACGCATGACTAAGGTCTCTTTTAAAATATACATTTATATTATTCCCCCCCCCCCATTTTACTTTCCAAAATATCAAAATCTGCAGTCTGATTGCTCAGAAAACCTCAACAAGACTCATGATTTGAAGAATCATTCACTTAATAAACACTCAAAAGCGTTATGAAGGAAGTATTTTCTCCCATCACATCTTCAAATGGAACTGAATGTCAAAATGACCTTGTCCTGATTCTCAATGCCTCCATTTGGAGTCATAAAACAGTTTGAGAGACACATCAGGAAACTTTAAGGGAACCGAAAAGATGATGAGCAGATAATGAGACAAACACCCACACATCCACACTCACACACAAACACACACACACACACACACACACACACACACACACTCACGCGCACACACACTCACTCACTCACTCACTCACACGCACACACACACACACACGCACACATGCACACACACACACACACACACACACACACACACACTCACACTCACGCACACACACTCACACACACACACTCACGCGCACACACACACACTCACACTCACGCACACACACACACACACACACTCATGCGCACACACACCCTCACACACACACACACACACACACACACACACAGGTTGTGTGAGTGATTGGCAGCACTTCATATTGAGCCGTGGAGGAAAACGTGAAAACAGGAAGCGAATGAAGAGGGTTTATTTGCTGTTATGAAGCAGAGCGGAGAGAGAGAAATATGAGCTGGAGGGAAGGAAAGACGGATCTGCTTACTTAATCTCCGGATCATAATCCTCATAACTGAAGAATGAAAAGTGGAAAAAGGAAAAGCAACAGAAAGTTAAAATAAATAAATGGACACTTGAGAGCAGAATGTGAAGGGAAATGAGGTTTGATCAGGGCTGGGTGAGATCTAATCATATCCATTAATATTTCACAAATATAACAGTACAGTAATGAAACAGCATCAAAATCAATTGAAAACAATTGAACATATGAAAAGATAACAACTGGAACTGGGTTGCAGAAACTTAACGACATGTTTGTACTGAATTTTAAATCAGAGACACTATTAAAACATCTCTGTCTTCATGCTCTCACACTCTCAAGAACAGAAGGATAGATGCCATGGTGCGGAAATTTCTCCAGCGATTAATAAACTTGTGACAAAAACGCTGTTACCGGTTACACTACTTTGCACAAAATATTTGTCAGTAGCTATGTTTCCATCCACCTATTTTTATGCACATTTTGGGATATCGCATTAAAAATGCTAGATGGAAACGCCAAGATTTGGATAAATTCTAAAAATGTGCATAAACTTCCACACGTCTGCGTTCCCAAACATCAGACATCCGAACGCAAGGGAAGATGACAACGTTTGTTATTGCGTTTTGTCTGGCGCAAGTCATTTATTACATAGGGAAATAAAGGACATTCATTAATTTTAATTATTAAGACTTTGCACCAGTTTCCCAAAAATATACATATATATATATTTTTTGCAATATTCAAATTTTGCACACAAGCTAAATTCCAGCTTTGGATGGAGACAGAGCTAATGATGCTCAGCATCTACAGTATAGTGCTTACTTTGAGCATGATATTTTTCTCTTTCTTTGAACAAACAAATTCTTATTACACTAACTGAAAAACAACAATAAAAGAGTGCAATGACAAACACAGATATATGGAAGATTTGTGGATCCCCCTTACTTTAAAAATAATGCTTAGCTTGTGGCTCATTGTTATTTTAACAATAAAACAAAGACAAACTCACTTATATTAGAAATAGTCAAAAATGTGCTTTTGTTTTTTGTTTTGAAACCAAATTGTCTTGTGAGTCTTCTCTTCTTGTAGCGTCCGTGGTTCAACTGAACTAAAGAGTTTTTAATTCTATAAAAAAGCAAAATGTGTAAAACCGATGACACCGACTACTGCAGTAAGCCTATTTATGGCCAAATAAAAACAGCATTAAAATCACTGACATATTCAAGATATTGGCCAATTTAAATCACAAGCAAAATCATTAATATTCAATATATCGTCCGGCTCTAACATAAGCAATAATCTATGTAGAAAGACAAGACAGAGCCAACTGAAAGACATAAACAAGATCAACTGCTGACACACACACACACACACACACACACTCACACTCACACACACACACACACACACACACACACACACACACACACACACACACACACACACACACACACACACAATCACCTTGACTATTAGCTGCATGTAACTTTGTGTGAGAACATACAGCTGATCAAGGTGAATTATAACAATACATTCAATATGCATATAAACTGGATTATAATTAGCATTTTTCACAAATATGATATAAAACAGAGCCAGAAGCGCTTACAAATGAAGCAATTATTTTCTTTTCCAACAAACAGTAAGAGAAAGACGGTGCTTAACCTTCAGAAACAAATCTTATATAAGCAGGGCTCTTATATATGTACATGCATAAACATATATTAATGTTACAATTTAACTAACTTTAACTCTGTAAATGAGAGAGACTGGAAAACACGATCATGGCATTTGTGTGTGATATTTACAGTATGTGACGATCAAGAGCAAATTTCAAGATGTTTTTTTAAGGGGAGAGCAGGCAATAATGGACGTGTTTGATGTGTCTCAACAAGAGCAATAAAGATAAACATTATAAACTCGAATAGCTTTTTTTCCGATAATAAATAAAGTTACAGTGATGTGTGTTTATAAGTGTGTTTTAAATGAGGCCCAAATGATGCTCACTTTATAACTCAGTACTCTGCAATCAGTTTGATCAAACCTTGGATTTACAGACGGCAGATTGCCACAGATAATGCAAGAATTTAATAATGCATTATTTAATAATGCAAGAAGTGATAGAATTTGCATTCCATTTAAAATCCTGGACAGATGGTCTAACGCTTTATAAAGGCATGCGACAGTGTAATGAATTTGTGGAA